ACCTCTTCCTTAGTGTCGACCTGGCCCAGGTGGCCGTGCTCCTTAGCAGAGTGTTTGTAGCGGCGGTGGGCCTTGGCGATGTCGCCCACGACGGAGAAGGCAGTCTCGCCTTCCTCCTCGTGTTCTCTTAGCAGATGCTTCTTCTCCCTGGCCCCGGGAGAGCGTAGCTTGTCCCGGCACTTGACCCGGCGGCGAACGCGCACCCATGGGTAGCGTCATGTATGATGCGTTTCTTGTCTAGCTCCTCGTCCTCAACGATGACAGCGAGCGCCGCAATAGCGGTATGTTCCCCGTAGCGCTCCAGGAACTCTCCCATGGACATTTTAGCCATGAGCCCCTCGCTAACATCCTCTTCGAACTTGGCTCTAGCGAAGTCGGCGTGCTCCTCCACCGAGCTGTAGTTAGGCACCCACGCTAGCGAGGCCTCCCAGGGGAAGTTCTCTAGCAGCCACTTCACCTGCTCCTCGAAGACGTGCGGGGTCCGAGGTAGCGGGTCCAGTATGCCTACTGGTAGCCCCTCTTCTGCTTGTCGAAGGAATTCCCTGTCAGGGTCCCCAGCGGCTTCCAGCATAGCGCGAAGTAGCCTGAGGTGTAGAGGTTGCCCCGGCGCCACATCTAGCAGCCCAGGCTCCCCCAAGTCTTGGGCTTCTAGCCAGTCCTTCCAGAGGTCGCGTAGCTGGTGATGTAGGTCTTGGTCACTAGCGAGGGTACAGCCCTTCTCACCGCCAGCGGCCATGCGGAAGGCTTCCTTCTCTAGCTGCTCCAAGGAGCCCACCCTCGCGAGGACGAGTTCTAGCGTCCTTTTCCTTAGCCATTCCCACTGGGGACCATCGGCGTAGCTCCTAGCGCGGTGGGGCCACCGGCCAGGCGAGCATAGCCCCCCCCATCGTGGAAAGGTTTCCCCCCCCCTAGGGGTTTAGGGTTTAGGGTTTAGGGTTTAGGGTTTAGGGTTTAGGGTTTAGGGTTTAGGGTTTAGGGTTTAGGGTTTAGGGCTAGCTGTCGGCAGAAACGGGGGGGCCCCGTCCCGCCCAGCACCCGGGGGCCCTCGGGGTGATTTAGCGGAAAGGTTTCACAGCTAGGCGGTAGCGTCTCCTCATGTCCGGCATGAACCCCCTCACCAACGGCAGCGTTAGCGGCATGCAGGCAAGTGGAGACCAGCATAGCAGAGAGCCACTGGCAGAGTTTAGCAGGCCATTGTTCCGAACCTGTAGTTTTGAACGCGCGCGCTTTAGCTTGCCTTTGAAACATAGCACCGTGACCCTTAGCAGAGGGCAGCGGACCAGTGTAGCAGCCTTTTGAATCATAGCGTGGCAGACCTTCGTAAACACAGTCCGGCATGGGTAGCGATGTGTGCAGTAGCAGGCGTGTCGGCTTAGCATAGGGAGTGCCGAAGCTAGCCTGGTG